TTCCTTCCCTCCTGTTTTGGGGGCCCCATGATCTATCTCCCCATCCCTGTGTGTCTCCCTGGCTAGGCTCCCATTCTCCCAGCCCCTCAGCCAGGTGGGGGATGCTGACCCCTGCCAGACACCCAGGGTCTCCTGGAACCAGAGAGCCTTTGGCCACGGGGCTCTGGCATTGGGCCAGTGCCTTTCTCACTGCCCAGCTCCTTCCCCACAGGCCCCTAATCCATCTCACCCAGCAGGAAGCCCTTCAGCTGCCTTTCAGTGGCCTTCCCTAGCCGGCTGTGGGCTCTGTGACTTTCAATACCACCCTTGGCAGGAGCTGTATTATACAAGCTGGAGAGAGTGGCCCTGCAAAGAGGTCAGCAAGCCTAAAGCAGCTTCCAGCTCCAGCAGCCTATCTGCCCTGGAGCCCTCCCCAGGGCTTCCCCCTCTAGTACGCTGCTGGGCATCCCTGGGCACTGACAGCCCTGGCTAACTCACATCAAAGCCCCATACGGGGTCTAGGTGGGGATAGGATTGCTAAGGGGACATGGGCTCTTCTCCTAAGTGGATGCTTGTGTGGAAACTTTGGGACCCTGTGGGTCCCCTTCATCCTGTTCCACATTGGGGTCCCTGAAAAGCAGAGGACCAGCTAGAGGGTAGGAGGTGTGGTCCCCTCCCCTCCCACCTGGGGAACCGTGGGGATGAAGTCTTCACTCTGGGAGGCTGCAGGTGGACACGGGTAAGATGGCTGGGCAGTCCGCTCTGTCCCTCCTCCCTTTTCCCTCTGGAAGTCCACTAGTTCATCCAGGCGTGTCTCCTCCCTTTCCTTCCCCCCTGTTTTGGGGGCACCATGGTCTATCTCCCCATTCCTGTGTGTCTCCCTGGCTAGGCTCCCATTCTCCCAGCCCCTCAGCCAGGTGGGGGATGCTGACCCCTGCCAGACACCCAGGGTCTCCTGGAACCAGAGAGCCTTTGGCCACGGGGCTCTGGCATTGGGCCAGTGCCTTTCTCACTGCCCGGCTCCTTCCCCACAGGCCCCTAATCCATCTCACCCAGCAGGAAGCCCTTCAGCTGCCTTTCAGTGGCCTTCCCTAGCTGGCTGTGGGCTCTGTGACTTTCAATACCACCCTTGGCAGGAGCTGTATTATACAAGCTGGAGAGAGTGGCCCTGCAAAGAGGTCAGCAAGCCTAAAGCAGCTTCCAGCTCCAGCAGCCTGTCCGCCCTGGAGCCCTCCCCACACTGCTGGGCATCCCTGGGCACTGACAGCCCTGGCTAACTCACATCAAAGCCCCATACGGGGTCTAGGTGGGGATAGGAATGCTAAGGGGACAGTGGGCAGGAGGCCAGGGTCTGGGGAAGTGTGGCAGGCAGGAGGGGGCCCCTCTGGCTCTGTGCCATCTGTCCTTTTGGCTGGTGTCTATCTTTCCTTTGATTGCAGCCCCTGCCCCCAACTCCTCAGAGCCCATTCACAGCCTTCTCAGACTCAGTTATTCAGCCAAGACTGAGGACTGGGAGAGCATGGCCCCTGCAGGCCACCACAACTGAGTGTTTCAGACAAGAAGAGAGACAGGCCAAGTAAGAGGGAGGGGAGAGTTGGGCGGGGGGGGGACACAGGTTCGTTCTCTCTTCCTGTGTTGTATTTGGGTGATTGCTTGTTACTCCTGTGGTGGGGATCTCACAGCTTGGATCATTCTAGGATGGGCTTGATTTCAATCCTCCAATTCCATGACACCTGCAAATATATTCTTACTGGTTCTGATTTTTGATTTGTAAAATATGGTTCTTGTATGGCCTATTCCCTACCCTGCCCTCAACATTTCCCTCCCCTTCCTCTCTAGAGAAAAAAAAAATCCCTCCAGCTAGGCCCCTTATCCACAGCCCAAACTCTAGCCCTGCCTCCCAGTCTCCAATCCAGGAAGCCAGCCTTTGCTGGCTAGGAGTGGTTAGAGAAGAGTTGGGGGTGCCTCTGGGAGGTCGGTTTGTAGTTCAGATTCTTCTCATTCCAGGCTCAGCAGGCTCTTTCTAAGGGAAGGGGGGGGATCCTTGGGGCACCAGCTGCAGGGAAGGAAAGCTTCCTGGAGAGAGGAGGGAAGTGTGTTTTCTTCTCTTAATGACCCCTGTCCACAAAGTAGGACCCTAGGACCTGCCTCTCCCAATTCCATCCTTGTAGTCCCCACAGAAGCTGCCTCAACATTAAGGCTCCACCCAACAAAGGAGATATTCAGAGCTGAGGCCCTGATCTCTTCCTTTGCTTCCTAATGAGTCAGTTTCTCTCTTTGGGGGATGCTTAGAGATGCTTATAAGAGGTAGGGGAGGGTGGTCAAAAGAAGGATGTCAGGAAGAAACTGGGTTACCCCCAGCTTCTAAGAGATCATGTCAGTCTGTTCCCAAAACTGAAGTCCTCTATAGATTTTTTTGGAGATCCAAACCCTCCAAACCTGGCAGTTTTTCTCTAGAACGTGTGTGTGTGTGTGTGTGTGTGTGTGTGTGTGTGTGTGTGTGTGGTGTGTGGTGTGTGTGTGTGTGTGTGACTTTAGCCCAGAATTAGCATATTTATACCTCTCTACAGCCAACCCCTAGGCTACAGAATTCCCCAAGGGTTAAGCAGAGCTACTCAGCCTTGGGGAAAGCAACTTGAGACCCTCAACCCTTAGAAGTCTTAGAAGTCTGACACCTGCTGTAAGACCCACGCACCATGCATAAATCCCACACACACCAGGATGGCTTACCTCACAAAGACCACGAGACTGAGTCTGCTGCAATTAAGCAAGAGGTTTTTATTCCAGCATGCTGAGGTCGCTCCGTTTTCAGGACAGAAGCGGCCCCGAGCTCTTAACTCAAGTATCTTTTATACAGTTTGGTAGGCAGGCTTTGGTAACAGGCTGGGTTGTACGCCATTTATTGGCCACTTAAAGCAATTTTTAAAACCGTTGGGCTTTTAGCTTTTGGCGGGCAAAGGAAGGACTGAGGTATTGACCAATGGTCCACCCCCCCTTTCCTCCTTTGGTGTCCAAAGATAAGGATCTGGTCATGCTGTTCCTGGAATCGGGTGAACATACTCCCTCCCTGGAACTGGGTGAACTTTGGGCTCTTTGGAAAGTCCCTTCCCCCTGGCAGCAGAAAGTCCTAATCTTCTGGCAACAGAAAGTCTGAAGCACCTGGTAACGGAAGGTCCTAAGTATCTGGTATTGTTTACCAAAAAGGTTGGGGGTTATCTCTACCTCCACATTCCCCCCTTTTTTTTCTTGTGCATATTTCAATCATGAAATACTGTTTCCTGTTGGTTTAATTCCTGATATTGTTGTTTTAACATCATAATTTGAACAGTGCTAATGCATTCCTTAACAAAAGCTAGTAAGCGAATTAAAATGCAGGGACCGAAGGTCAGAAGCAATATTAAAATAATTAGTGGTCCTAACAGGGTTGACACGAGGGTCGTGAGCCAGGGGGAGGAGTTGAACCATGACTCCAACCAGCCCTGATTTTTCTTTTTTCTTTAATATCAGCATCTATGGCTGCCTGTAAACTTTGGTAATTCTGATGTTGAATAGCCAGAGCTGAAGCTCCTGTAGCTGCCCCAGCTCTTCCCAATCCTAAACTTAAGAGGACAGAGAGCATGGTACCTAGGGGCTCCCTTCTGGTTCAGTAGTTCCCGTTATTGTTATCCCAGTATGATAATAGTTTTTCATAGGGATGGTAAACAAGCCGAGGCAACAACCGAACCAAGACACAGAAATCTTGGGTCTCGTTTAGGACCTGTAAGCTAACACACGGCGTGACCCCAGGAGCGCAGGCCCACCATCCTTCTGGAGGGGGAAACAGATATGTGTCACCAGACCACTTGTTCACATTAAGAGTCTGGTTGCACAGCTGGCTGTGTGAGGAAGGGGTATGTGGACTGCTAGCTCCTGGGCCCTGGGAAAAGATTTTTAGGCATAAGAAAAGCAAGAGAGTTTTCATCTTACAACACTTAGAATGTCCGAACAATTTTCAGTCTTAAAGGGTGCTCCTTGGAACCCTGGACTTTCCAGGAGGCGTCTTTTGATCCATGGTCCTCTGGTGGTGAAGGCTTTATGTGTGAGGCATGGATCCAAGTGGAAATCCCGTCTACCTTTACAGCCATTGGTGTCATCAGGAGCACCAGGTAAAGTCCCTTCCAACAGGGTTCCAGAGATTGGGAGCGGTGTTGCCATACTGTGTCCCCAACCTGGAACTGGTGAGAAACTTTGGGGGTCCCAGGCTTATAGGTGGCTGCCAACTGCATCCAGACTTTTTTCTGCACCGCTTGCAGACCCAGGATTGGTCTGGGTCACTGTGGCCAAGAGCTTCTTTTTTCTAATCTGGGAGAAGTTGTCTCTTATTACCCCAGAGTGGTTGTGGTTAGTATAAAAACAGCAAGGTTCTCCTACAGTTAAACATAATCCCCTTTGTTTAAAGAACAAAAGACCGAAGATCTCTCCTATTTTGTAATACTACTTCGGCTAGGGAATCCAAGGAGCTTTCTAATCTGCCCACAGAGGCTTCCAATTCCCCTAAGTCTAGGTCAATTTGTTGGCTTAAAGCTTTGAAGTTTTGATCACTTGTTGAGGGCTGCAGTACTAATGGCAGCAGATCCAAGGCTCACAAGCAGTGGAACTAAAACAGGGATGGTTCTTTTAGCTCTGTTAGCAAGAAGGTGTTGTTTTCCTGCTTCTCCCTCATAATAGAAAATTTGGGGAATGATGTAGACTAATACACAGAATTCAACTTTGTTAGGAGTGAGGAAGTACTGGGTAGAAATGCATGGGGTCGGGCCGGCCC